AAGCAGCTTATCTAACTAATAACTCCATCAATCACACACTAAACAAACCATCCCTTGTAAAACAAAAACAAAACAAAACAAAAAATTCTCAGAAATGTTGTCATAGAATTTAGATGGTAGCTTTATCTCTTTTCTGTTTCTTCATTAAGCAAATGTCTCTAAGCCCTACATGTCTCGCTGCACCACAAAAAAAAAAGATTATTAGACTTGAGTTTTTCTACTGACCACCACCAGCTGCTACAAAAACAATCTTGTCCTTAAAACAAATTTAATATAAGAATTCTTCTAGACACCTAAGAAACATTTTTAAGGCAGACTGGGGGACACTGGTGGAGGGTAGGGAACACTGGTGTTGGAACAATATAATCCTGAAACTCAATCATATATATCTTTGTAACTCTGTAATTCATGGTGATTCAATAAAAGAAGTAAATAGAAAAAAAAACAAGAGGCAGAGGTTTGCAAAACCAAGGACACAGCTTGACAGTTGTAGCAACACAACACTTGACAGCCATTTTCATTCATGTCAGAGAACATGGGTTATTATGTTATCTCTTGAATACACAATGTTTCTTGAAACTTAAAAAAAAAGAAAGGTAATAATGAAAAGGCTCTTTATTATAGCTCTCTATTATAGCCCTGAGTGCAGACCTCTTTAAAAAGTTATCACTTTCAAATCCTTTCTAAACATACTACTAAGAACTTGGCTTTGAGATTCACCCATTGGATGTCTGTCAAAATAAGAACCTACCTTGGCATATAGTTCATAGCTCTGACCTCTCCCAAGATAAACTAAAAAAAATTCTGCATTGCAATAAACCTCCCTAAGATTAGAGGATTTTAACTGGCAAAACTACATGATACACAGAATTAGAACTCATAATCTTTTGCATAATGGTTAACGATAGCCCTATAAATGTTAGAATCGGTATAGTTTATAATTGGTAAGACCAGATGTGAGCAAGTTTTCTGATGATCAAAAACTCACTGAGATGGTAACTTCCTAGAAATAAAGCCATTTATAAACACCATCTTTTACAAGTCCCTCAGGAAAGTTGTAACTTTATATTAACTATCACTTTTTTCTCTCACGGTTAAGTCAGTTGGTGTGAGAGAAAGGACACCTGAAATAGAACTAAGAGATTTGTTTTGTTAGTCTGACACTCTAGACACTCTAGAGAGTGGACAAGTGAGTGGATCATGGCAAATGATTCAGAGAGTTTACCCCCAATGCTGTTTCACTTATCCAAAGGACAAGTAAATTTAAATTATTTTCGAATTCCAAATAGTACTTGTATGTAGTCAAATATATCTTAGCTATTAGTTCATCAGTTTGTAAATTTCTCCCACGGTGGTCCCAAATACATGTTCATTTTTTTATATACCAGTTAATGCCACCCCCTAATGGCATGGCTACTTCCCCTTCTGTTCAATCTAATCCTGTTCATTCATGAACAAGACTCTTAGCCCATAAAGAGGGGAGGGATAGAAAAATCTCAAATGTTCTGTTTTGTACCTGGATTCAAAAGCAGCATCTGTTATGTCTGTGGAACCATCTGTTGCCTACTCCACCCTGGAAAGGAGAGAGCAGGCACAGAAGTGAAGTGTCACAGGTCACCAAACGGAATTATCTCCTTTTTGAGGCAGACACACCCAGGCATATGCTCTTCAGTCACCATGGTTAATACCACTCTTCCCTCTTTAAAGAGTTTGTTTCTTATGGAGAGTAGTTCTCACAGAGAGTGAGGTCCAGGCTAACAACACTGACATTTGCCAGATGATCAGTTTCTAAATTCTCTACTTGTGTATTATACCTAGACATATGTCTACATCAGACTCATCTGAGACCTTAACCAGTCAGCCATCTCTGGCCAATTCCATTTTCAAATCGACATAATGAAAAGGTGATCTCTGAGGTTCCTTTGTTCTCAAAGGCTCCCAAATCCTATGATTTTAAGCCAATTCAAAGTTGTCAATGAGCACAACACATTCCTTCATATCTATGGTACATTGGGACTCACTGCCAAGGGTAAAAGAATCTGCTGCAGACAAAAAGGCTTCTATGACATGGTTTCTTTGTGTTGAGCAAGAACACAGTTGGATTCCTGAGGATCTGAATTAAATTAAGATGCCTAATCTCGTTAACATATGCCCACAAAGTAATACTCCAGCAAAGACTTTGGAGGGGATACTTTTTCACATGTCCTGTGCATCATAGGACATTGCGCAGCATCTGAGGCCTCTGTGCACTAAATGCCTGACCCAGTTGATAGTAGCCTTTACCAAAATGTTCCCAGAGATTTGCCAATATCCCCTGGGGCAAAGGGTTGAGGAGTGTGGTGAAGCAAAATCCCACCCCACTCCAACCTCCCTAAGAACCACTACTGGCAAATACATCAGGGCTTTCAAATGAAGCCCATGCTAGGCTGCAAAGAGCTTAAAGGGCTGGAGTGCATGTTTTGCATGAAAAAAGGCCCGGGTTCAATTTCTGGCACCACATGGTCCCCAGAACACTAAGCAGGAGGAAGAACCCTCCCCCCCACCCCCACCCCCCGCCCAAGTAATAAAGCACATGCTTAAAAGTTGTTTCTGTGGAAAATGATGTTTATATATTTTAAAACTGGGGCTGGGAAGATAGATAGTACAGCCGGTCTTGCCCAGGATGCTGCCAATCTAGGTTCAATTCCCTGCATCTCATATTGCTTCCTGAGCTTACCAGGAGTGCAGAGCCAGGAGTAAGCACCATGCACTATTGAGCATGCCCCCGAAATTGAACCAACCAACCAACAAACAAAAAAACAAAGAAAAGTATACCAAGACCAAATCGACCTCAAAAGCATATTTCGTGTGAAAGATGAACAAAACCTCCCTCTTTCCAAGTCTCTCACAGCACAGACTTCCTGTAAATGATTGAAAATCATCACGTAAAGCCAAAGTCCCAACTGCTCTTAAAAAGCATTGAAAAAGAATCCCATGTTTTTACAATAACTTCTCTAGAACTCTAGAGAATCCACTACTGACTATATACCTCCAAAACAAGGCTTTGAAGAAAATAATGAAAACCAGAGGTCAGTTTAATCACCTAGGTTCTTTTCTTCCCTCTCCCGTGCAAACAATAAAACATTTCTGCAAAGTTTGCCAAAGAGATCCAGATTTGGTGTGGGTTCTTGAAGATAGAAATTAAGAAGCACTTAGCCAAATTCCCCAAGAATGTTTTGCTTCAAAAGGGGAGTCGAGAGATACCCCATATACAATATCCTCAACTCAGAGAGATGCAGCAGCCAACCACATAAAGCTGACTGAAGAGAGCAAACTGACTGAAATGATGACCACTCTTAGACAAACATCACGTTTCTTTCCATTTGCAAGGAAGACTGGGATTTGCAAACCTCCAGAGCTGAGGACTTGGGAGTCAACTAGGAGCAAAATCTCGGCTCCCCCTCTCTTAAAGCAAACACCACTTACAAACGTTCAGGGTACTTTAGAGAGTCTCTTAAGTGCATGGCATGTTGAAATTTCCACATCCAATATATGTAAAGGCATAAATAAACCTTAAATAACTAAGCCCTGAATAAGAGTTTGAATCCTGAATAGACACAACTGTTACTTTTCAAAGAACGTTCGCTCTTTCTTTAAATATTTACACATTTGAGAGCAACGGTACCAGGGATATAGCCGTTCTGTTAAAATGGTAGGCAATGCTAAAGATTTATTTATCCCCCAACCCAACTGTTCTGTTGCTACCCTACCAGGAACAAGAATTCAAGGAACTTGGGGCTGAAGTGAAACCCTCTAAATGGTGATCTTCATTTAGATCCCTACCAACAGAGTTCCACTATGGCTAGACTCCCAAAAGACCTTTCTGCAGTGCTCCAGAAAGCTAACCGAGGAAGACCAGAGTTTGAAGCCTGGTAACCTGAAATAGCGGTCACTTAGACGGACCTATAATGAAGGGAAACATGACTTAAAAATATTTATACTAAAGGGATTCCGCAGTTTTCTGCCTCTTCTCGGTCCTCTCCTAGCTGCATCTGGCTGGGACTAATCGTGGTGCATTCTAGAACTCTGTAAGCCACTGCAGGGCTGCAGAAAGAAGACTTCGAGGCAAGAGTGCAGAGCCAGCAGCTGCCGAGAGGAATCCCAGCCCCGGGCTACCCACTCACAAGGGTGCGGACTCAATTCCTTCTTTTACAAAAAAAAAAAAAAAAAAAGTTAGCGAGGAAGGCCCGGGGAGCAGGTTCCACCGCTGCAGTCAGTCCAGCCCCGCAAGAGACGGCCTGTCAGCCTTCTAATTTCCTGGCGGTGGCGGGAGTCAGCCAGGTCCCCCGCGCGTTAATAAGTGATGACCGCTAGGGCGAAGTTATTCAATGCACCAGCCCACATTTTCAGCGGCGCACCGCGAGATCGGGGCGGGGGGTGGGGGGTGGGGGGGAAACAGGGGTGCAAAACATACCCCCCCAAGCTCCCTTCACGCACTCCGGGGCGTCCAGAGACCCTCGCACCAGAAACTTCGGGGAAAATCCAAAGGCAAATCGGAGTGTGAGGCTCCGGGCGGGTGAGACTCTCGAAACAAAGTGGAACCAGCAGCGCAGTCAGCCAGGTCCTGCGGGGTACCCGGGTGGGGTGGGGGGCTGGAAGAAGGAAGGGTTCTTCCCCGGACCCCGCGCCCCCCACCACTCTTTCCCCTGCCGGCCGCGACAAAGCCGCTCCAGCCAGACCTCCCTCCTCGAGGATAGTCCCCAATTCTCAGCCAAAGTTGCCTCGAGCCCCCGATTCTTCCCACCTCGAAACGCGGCTGGGGGTCCGGACAACCGCTCGGCGAGGGTCCCCGCTTCCACCCGCGCTCCCTCCCCCGGAGCCCTGCCGCCCCGGCGGTGCCCCTGGGACCCGGAGCTCCCCAAAGCTGCGCGGCCGGGCCCCGACTGGCCCCCACCTGGGGCTCTGTGTCCCCTCCAGCCTGCCAAGGGGACCCCGATCGCGCGAGCCCGGCGCCCACTCACGGCCTCATCCCGGCTCCGCCGCTCCCGGACGCGCCGAGCGCCGCCCGCGCCCCGCCTCGGCCCCGCGGCCGCCGCCGGCTCCCCGCCCACCCCGCCGCGCACCCGGCGGCGACCAAGTCGGCGGCACGGGGGAGGCGGCGCCCGCGGGGACGCCCGGGCCGCGGGGCTCCCAGACTCCCGCCCGCCCGGCGGGCCCGATCGCGGCGTCCCGCTCACCTGGCGCCGCGGCTAGGCGGGGTGGCGGCGGCGAGCGCGGGCGAGCGCGCTCGGGGCGCGGGGCCGGGCCTCGGGGTCCCCCTCGGGCGGCGGTGGTGGGCTCCGCTGCCTCTGGGTCCTCGGTCTCGCCCCGAGCTCCGGAGCACTGAAGTCGGCGAAAGCCCCGATGCCTGCAGGTTGGCGGCTGCTCGCCCTTGGCTTCTCCAAGTCTGGTTTGCAGCCGCGCCGCTGCAAACTTGGGTTAACACACACACACGCACGCACGCACACACACACACACACACACACACATGCACACACGCACACACGCGCGCGCACATGCATACACACGCACATGCACACACGCACACCCCAGCTCCTTTTTTCTTTCTTTTCTTTTCTTTTTCTTTATTTTGAGAACTGGGAGAGAAGTACGGGTCGAGTGAGTGCAGTGAGATACACGTCCTGGGGGGATGATTTTCTCCCCCGACGCTGAAGTTTCTTCTGGGAAACTCCAGGTGACTGCACCTCCTCCTGACGACGCTTGACCCGCGGGCGGGAACTTATGCGTCAGAAGAGCAGCTTTGCAGAGTCTTGGGGAACGGCCGCAGTCTCCAAGGTGCGGGTCTCCAACAACTAATACTACTAGTTGCCTTTCAGTCCCTTCACATCAAAGATTCTGGATTTTCTTCCCTCCGCCCACTAGTTGCTGCCACCAATGAAAGCCGTGCTCAGGGGCTCGTCTTCCAGCAGGCGTTTCTGAGGACAACAGAAGGGTCCCCAGAACGCGGCCCCATCGTCTATGTGGGCACCCGGGGCTGGTAGCATCTGCCAAGTTCTTAAAGAGGAAACTTGGGTGAGGCAAAGACGGAGGCCTTTGACCCCGGAGCACTCACAACAACACAAAAGAGCGCGGTTACGTGTCAACGGGTTCAATTTAATGGATGCAAACTAACTTGCACCTCGAGTGTTATTAAGTGCTCTTTTCATTTATACAGTTAAAGTTTGGATTCTAAGTTCAAGGAGAAGCCCACCTAAGGACGACTTGATGTTCATAGGACCCTCCTCCTGACACCAAATTAAACCACGACCACCACCCCCAACCCCCCTACCCATTCCTGTCCCAGGAAACGTTTGGGATTAGTTAAGGGCACAAGCAGCTTCCTCTCTTTTATGGATCTTTCTCATCAATGTAAAACCATGTTTATTGTTCTTTTCTTCATCTTTAAAAATAATAAATAGGTGTGAGCAGAGAGAGAGAGAGAGAGAGAGAGAGAGAGAGAGAGAGAGAGAGAGTCAAAGAGCAGGGCTGGAGAGATAGTACAGATGTTACTTTCCTTTCACAGGCTGGATTCCACTTGAGTTCGTTCAATCCCCAGCAGCACATATGGGTCCTCTGAGCACAGTCATGAGTAAACTCTTATCACAGGTAGGTAGATGTAGCCCAAACACACACACACACACACACACACACACACACACGCACACACATGCACACACACTCCAATAAAAACTTGTCCTTTCCACTTTCCCTTCCAGCCTTTATTTTTGCTCAATTACAATAAACCCCATTTAAAGAGTTGTAAAGAAAAAGTGTCTCCAATACTCATCCAGTTTATTCCAATCATACGTTTGCTTCTATTGAGTCCCTGGAAATCATTTCATGGAGACTTAACTGATAAATTAAATGCTTCTTTAGTTCTCATCTTGAACTCCTGGTCAAATAATCCCTTGCTCCTTCTGGAAATGGCTTTATTTGACATTTAGGTTGCGTGTTTCATGGTGGCTCTTTCTCAGTCTCCTTTGCTAATTCCTTCTCTTCTCTCAGCCTTTGAGCAATCGAGTGCCCACAGTTCAGACCTTGGGCATCTTATCTATCTACACTCACTACTTTAGTGACCTCATTCTGTCTCATAGCATTCATAATACCTTGTATGTGGTAAAGACTCCAAATATTACCAACAACTTAGTCATCTTCCTTAAACTGCAGGCTCCAAGTACCTGTTTACTTGGATGCCCACTAGACTTCTCCCACTTAACATTTGCAATAGTGAAATTCCATCCTGTACGCCCTCCCCCAACACTCAACTGACCTGTCCTAATAGTTTCTTCACTTCAGACTCAAAACCTTGGTATCATCCTTAACTTTTCTGTTTCTTTTATATTTCAAAACTCTTCCATCAGAAAAGTCTTTCCACTGTACTTTCAAAATGAATTAAAAATGCAACATTATTAGAATCCTCTTGTCTAATCTTTCTTCCCTTCTTGGCCTTTTCTTGTTCTACCAATGGAGTTGTGGGAAGACTTCACCTTTCTGGGTTGTTAGGCTGGTTGGTAATCCAGCAGCAGCCACAGGTCATACCTGGGCATCTGTAAGGTGCAAGGGATTTAATAGCACGTGTGGGAGAGCTACAATGAGTATGTAGATCCCTAAATCAGCAAAGGAGAGAAAGGTATGTATAAGTCCCAGTCGGGGGGCCAGAGGTCCTCATAAAGAGAGAAAAGAGAGAGAGAAAGGGAAATATTTTGATCACAAGAAAAGAAAGTGCTCATCTTTCCACTGGGAAGAAAAAAAAGTTTTAATATAAAGCATGTTTACAGATATCCCCCAAATAAAATTTTTTCTAGTTCATAAAAGAGGAGCAATTATTACTTCTTTGATTAGAAAAATGACAAGTTGAGACTGATTCTCTTCTTTGGTTAGTGAAAGGGTAAAAGGACTAAGGTGATAATAAGAGCATAATCTTTGTCTCCGGAGCCTTCACTGCTCTTAGCTCCAAAAAAATCGCCCATGCCAGAACAGATACTCCTGAGGAGGGAAATTCTGAAGATCTTGGGGTGTTCTCATCTTGGTACCTTCATTTCTTTTGCCCTACACAACATATTTTCAACATCACAGCCAAGGAATCCAGGCTAAACTTTAAGAATTTCCTATGGCCGATGTACTCAAGCCCTCAGATGGTTCCCATCTAACTCAGATCGAAATTCAAAGTTTGTATAATGGCCCAGATGGGAATGGCATGCCATTCTCCAACTTGGGTTCCTTCTTCTCTGCCTTCAGACTTGCCCCTGACCACAATAACCTCCTCACTCTGAATTCTCCCTTGCCAAGTATCTGCATCACACATTACTTGACAGTCTTAAAGACTTGCTTAAACGTTACCATGTTCCTCGGGCACAATGACCACAGTCTATTTAAAATTTAAAAAATTAAAAATCACCTTTTCTACCAGTTAAGGTTTCTTTGTGTTTTTTTTTTTAAATTGACAGAATGATCACTTTGTACCAAGCCATATAAAAATACTTTCTGGGCCCAGAGAAATGGTACAGGGGTTAAGGCACTGCCTTACATTCAACTGGCCTCAGATCTCTGCATATGCTTCCCCAAGCACTGCTGTGGGTCACTTCTGAACAGGGACCCAAGAAAAGACCCTGAGCACCATCAGGTGTGGCACCAATACGCCCCCCACCCCAACTTTTATAAATATATTTAGTGTCTGGTAGGGCATTTGCCTTGCACGCAGCCAGCCTGGCTGAGCCGGGTTAGATTCCTCCGCCCCTCTTGGAGATCCCGGCAAGTTATTGAGAGTATCTCGTGCCCGTGGCAAAGCCTGGCAATCTATCTACCCATGACGTATTCAATATGCCACACACAGTAACAACAAGTCTCAAAATGGAGACATTACTGGGCCCGCTCGAGCAAATCGATGAACAACAGGAGGACAGTGTCTGTTTGTTTGACAGTTTTCATTAAAATGTAGAATCTTCCCATTCAAGCTGCATATGCTCCTCGGGCATATGTTCCTCGGGCACAATGACCTTGGATTAGTTAAGGGCATCTATTTCCTTCAATGATATATCTCTCATGCTCTTGGAATGGTTTTTTGCCTGACTGTAGTTAGTTTTTAAATTATGAATGATAACTTTGACCCAGAGCACCATGGGTGCAAAAATGTTCTTGCCTGAACAGTGCCAACCACAGAGTTGACTAAACAGACATCTTGGAGGGGGCTGGAGTGATGGTACAGTGGGTAGGGCGTTTGCCTTGCATGTAGCTGACCAGGGTTTGATTCCCAGCATCCCATATGATCCCCTGAGCACAGCCAGGAGTAATTCCTGAGTGCAGAGCCAGGAATAACCCCTGAGCATCACCGGGTGTGATCCCAAAAGCAAAAAAAAAAAAATCTTGGAGACAGTTATTCACAGTTATTCTTTTTCAGAGTAGCTGAGGAGTATGCATCCAACACAACACACCAAGAATGACAACACTAATATTCATGTCTAAAAATATAAATAACATTTACTGAAGTAACAGTTAATATATCAGACACTCTCCCAGTGCATTATAGCACTCATCAGCTTAATCCTTATAATAACCCTATGAAATAGAAGTGAAAAAAATGAGGCACGGACAGTGGTCACTCAGCTAACGGTTGGTAGAAGTAGAATTTGAACACGGGCATTGTGGTTCTAGGGTTGATGCTCTTAAATGTTTCCCTCTACTTTTCTCTAAGTTGGTCTGAGACCAGGGGAAGTTTCTGTATAATGAACATTTCCTATTTATCAGACCTCAAGCAAAACAAACAGACAAAAGAGTTAAAAGGTGGAGGCCAGGGAGGCAGAGGAAATAGTGAGATGCTGGTCAAGTGTACAGTCGTAGTGAAATAGGATGAGTAAATCTATACATCTAAAATAGAGGATGAATGAATAACCCATAGGCCCAAAAGGAAAGAGGTGGGAGGGAAGAGCTCCAGTGTCTGCTATGCAGGCATGCGGGTGTGTGAGATGCAGAAGGAAAACTAGGGACATTGGTCACAGGAAATGTACACTGGTGAAGGCATGGGTGTTGAAGCATTAT